GGGGGCGATAGGCAGATAAACAGATGCATTGACAGCAAGAACTTAGAGCAAATAATTAGATTGACAAATTATATTGTAAAAGAAATAGGCTACTCTTTTCAGTTGAAATAGATACAAACGCTCATCTTTCCAAGACTCACGACCCAAAATTATAGCCAGGCAGTTTGTTTTCCTTCAGACCTTCTGTTTAACCACATCGAACCCTGTGTCATCGTCCTCTACAATATTCCTTTTTTTTTTGTATTTGTGTGTGGTGTGTGTGTGTGTGTGTGTGTGTGTGTGTGTGTGTGTGTGTGTGTGTGTGTGTGTGTGTGTGTGTGTGTGTGTGTTTGACTTGATCAGTTCATTTTTTCTGTTACAAGATAAGACAATCATATGGGCCTTTCCTTTTTTTCTGAAAGTACCAGCTAACCCTATAGAAAAAAATTAAGCGGATAGAACTCGGATGTTTACGGGTAGCCGTTATAGTTTTCCTGATACTTTTTAAAACGCTCTGCCGGAACATTCTGTTAGGTGTTCGTGCTTCTTTAGCTTTCCAAACACAGCATACACCGGCCCTTCCTTGTCATACAGTCCTTTTCGGAATTTCCGTTCCGTTTTTGAAGGTTTATAAGTTGTTACTTATACCAAAAAGAATTAAATGAAAGAAAGTCTTATCCACTTTTAACAATTACGTTTTTGGGTGTGTTTTTGTGGAATATATAATTTCGTCAGTCATCTTGCGTTCTCTCTTCCTTGTTCCTGATATTCTAGCCCAGCCCACCCCTGTTCCAGCTTACGCCGGTGTGGCCGTCCGCTAAGGGACCACCTCTCTCCCGCTACGCCCGTCGACGGCAAAGCTTTCGCGCGTCGCGGTCCAAGTTCCCTTTGACTTTTTCAGCGCGTAGTATAGTAAGGGGGGACTCGAGACCACATTACCTCAAGCCGGGGAGTTCATTCTGATGTTATCAGCCCCACTTCTCGACTGGGAATCGGGTGGCCCGACATTCTAATACCTCTATTGACAAAAAATATATCAGGATAATCTTCGAGGGACGGGTATGTGCCTTTGAAGTGAAAGAATTTCGTGGGATTCTGATGTGTGATGCTCGGGTTCTTCGAGTGTACTAGTTCATGAGGACTAATTGCTTTCTTTTAATGTTTGTAAAACTTTAAGTGTGGTCAGTTGCTAATGACAGGTGGTCACGATAGTTGTGATAGGCTGACGACTTGAAGTTAACTTTCTTTATTTTGCGAAACTGATACCTCGATTTGTATTGATATTCGTTGTTTATTTTTTTGTCTCGCTCATCTTCAGTAGCAAAGTTATGTGGCATTTTTTTTTTAATTAAAGATTTCAGGTTAGCTGTACTCACAGTGGAACGTATTATATACATTGACAGGTCATGGTATTTGCATATCTTACACACTACTGTTAAAACACACACGTGGACATAAGACAAATAGCCAGTCAGGGTGGTAGTGAGGGGAAAAAGAATCATGGGGATAGAGTCATAGATACCCTGGGCTTCAATTTGTTCCCACTTAACTTGGACAAGAGTGGCCTATCTTTTTACACTTTTCCTCATTTATTTCAAGTGCCACTTATCTCTTTTCAGCTGTAACAAATTCTTTCGGCCTCCTTTAATTAAACTTCAGCCATTCTTTCTACACCTAATTTTCAACGGTATTTTTTATTACCAAGTCATCTTTATTTGCTGGCAAAGTTAAGAGCAGTAATAATTGTTACTCAGTGTGTCCTGGCAGCAAAATCTTCACTTGAATAATTGTTCACCTAAACTGATTCTAACAGATACCTGAGTTTGGACCTGAGTTTAAATTATTTTGGGGAAAAAAATGGTTACAAAAAATTGTCGATCTTTGCTACGACTGCGCTCAAGTACCTATGGTACACTTTCTTTTGAACAATAATAGATCATCATACGTACTCTGCAAACCGTTAGAACACACAAGTGATCACATTACAACGTTGCCTGTTGTCTCTTCATACTTTAAAAAACGGATTTCTTATCGGGTTTTACTGTAAATACTTTGTAAAAGCTTACGCGTTTAAAAAAGTGTATTGTATTTTGTGGTGTGTAGATCCGTATTGGACAAGGCTCGATTATGTCGTGGTGACACTTGACTAAAGCGAGAACACGACTGATAAAGTGTGAACGTCACAACACCGCAAATTAGCGTATCGTGTGGTTGATAAGACACATCGTCTTGTTTTCTGGATTCATTGGAGAACTGACATACTTTTCCCAACGTGTAAAGGTAAGTAAAGACCCAGCACAGGCTTAAATGTACACTCAAGCAATGTTGAAGAAATGCCGTTTAGGGGGTGTGAAGTGGGATGTGTGTTTTGATAAGATCGATAGCCCTTGTTAAAAAGTAAAACGTCTTTTGCTCGAAAGTGACAAGCAATGGCATTCGGCTATATAAACAGATTGCCTTGCAATGTGTGCAAGTTTTGTACATATTATCTGTATCCGTTTTCTTTTTCTGTGCTTTCCCCTTACACATAGGCGTAGACCAGTTGTGTTTTTTTAAAATTCCGATTAATGAAAGTTGTTTTCCCACCTTTCTCCCTAAGCGGGTTTTAGTTGATTCCATTTGTGGGCATGCTTTTGATAATATGTTAAATAAACTGCCTAAGACAGTATTATGGTCAATATCTATCATAAACTCAGTAACGTTAACCCAAAAAATAGTTCTGTCAGTTATCCATTAGAATATTCCACCTAAAGAAACATTATTATAATCTGTCCATTTTAAAAGAAAGATATGAGACATCACAAGCATTAAAACAAATAATTCCTCTTTGTAATGAGCAGTCTTTAGCCTTGGACAAATGCAATTCAGTCTATCCCTTTCTGTCTCTCTGTTTCTCTGTCTCTCTGTCTTTCTGTCTTTCTGTCTATCTCTCTCCACGTCTCTCTCTATCATTCTCCCTCTCTCTCTTTGTGTACATGGTTCGTGTGTGTGCGCATATGTGTGTGTGTGTGTGTGTGTGTGTGTGTGTGTGTGTGTGTGTGTGTGTGTGTATAATCACCTTTGTGGTTACGCTGCGACCTAAAAAATTAAATTAAATTAAATAGAATAAAATAACCCCTTTATCTTTCGATACAACAGAAACATTTTTTGACATCCCGTGGATTTTTCTGGGCAGCCTTAATGCAGGGATCATCCAACGTACACACGCATAAGACTAAGTGCTCCAATCTCAATCGAGTTTAATGAGTCTCTTAGGTGCCAAATCCTTTGCACAAGACGTTATCTAGACCATGCATTCCAACATGTTAAGCAGGCTTTTATCCTTTTAACCTTTAATTCCATTGCTCCCGTATAATACCCAACATGCATTCAAGTGTCAGTCTGAAATCGCTACAAGTGCCTACGGAATGCTCAGGCGTTCTAAGAATAATTAATTTGTTCAACGTAGGATTATTTTTTAAAACCATGAACAGGACTAAATCGTCTAGGCAGAAATTGAAATCCTAGGAGGGAAATCAGAAATTTTGTCAGTATATTTAGCAATTACCTTATGGTACCTGTTGTAAAGTGTGTCAAATAACCATTTGTCCTTGGTTTAGAAAGTGTTGCTAGAAAAGAACACAAACTGGACTATAGAGGGGACTTGTTTGAGGGGTGGGGGATTTTTTGGTCTTACGGCATGTGTCTGCGTTCTTTTTAAAGGGTTTGAACTTCTCGCTGGAGAGTCTAGATGTCTGAAAGTCTTGTTCTTTTTTCTTATTAGACTATAATTTGTTTATCAACTTATCTAGCTTTGCTTATCTACCAACCTACCATCGACTGAAGCTTTTGTTTATCTACATATGATTTTTCTCTCAAACGATGTTTACCCCCCGGGGCAGTGCCACTGACTGAAATGTCTTTAGGCCATTCCCAAAGGGGGGACATTTCTCGTTCAAGCATAGTAGAATTGTAAATGGGCTGACTCATGTCACGTTCATAACTGTGCCTGATCTACAACAGGGAACTGCTGCTTTTTCTTTCCTGTTCCTTACTATTGTCATTTTCCTCTACTTCTTTTGTATGTTTGTCACTCTCTTGTGACCTGCTATTTTGGCGTGCCTTGATAGTCGAAGCAGACCTTGTGCTGTTGAAGCTAGAGAGGTGAGCAGTCTAAGTCTGATTTCCTGTAAAGACTTCTCTGTTGACACCTACCCCTTGGCGCTCATATGACCTTATTTGCAGTTGCGAGCGCCGTAAAACCCTCTACTATTTTTAAAAAAACCGATGTTTCTTTTTTCTAGCTAGGTCCCTCAACTGTATGAATAACACAAGGGGAAACAGTAAGAGAAAAAAATGGTTAGCTTATCTTCTCATTTTTACTCCCC